ATTTTTACTAATGGAAAATGTATTTTGCAGGACCAAGCATTGATGAGGGAGACTGGATTGGGTGATATTCATGCAGGAGTTTATGTGTTTCAACCAAAGCATGCTTCAGTTTCTACCGTAAGAGTTCAGGAGTCTGCAGAGTTGTGGCACAGACGGTTGGGTCATGCATCCTATGAAGTTGTGTCTTTGCTTCCGTTATTTTCTCATAATTCAGCTAAAATTGCAGCGAATAAAACGGCATGTGCCATTTGTTGTCGTGCTAAGCACACTAGAACTATGTTTCATTCAAGCAGTAATCGAAGTAAACAATGTTTTGATTTAATTCACTGTGATACGTGGGACCCTATCGTTCTTCTTCCTCTTCAGGTGCACATTATTTTTTAACAATCGTTGATGACTTCAGTCGATTTGTTTGGGTGTATATGTTAGCTGAAAAGAAGGAGACTTGCGATCGTATTCATAAATTTTTGGCTATGATCAGAACCCAATTTGGAAAAATGATAAAAATTTTGCGTTCTGATAATGGGACTGAATTTAAATCAAATAAATTACTGCAGTTGTATCATGAAAATGGGATAGTTCATCAAACGTCTTGTGTTTATACACCAGAACAAAATGGGCGTGTAGAGCGAAAGCATCGACATATTTTAAATGTTTCTCGGGCGTTATTGTTTCAAGCTGATTTACCCATCGATTTTTGGGAAGAAAGTGTGCTTGCAGGGGTCCATTTGATTAATAGAACACCATCCAAAATTCTTTCAGGCAGTACACCACATGAGTTATTATATGGGGTGGTCCCAAATTATGAACACTTGAAATTTTTTGGATGTTTGTGTTTTGCTAATGTCAGACCAAAGCCTACGGATAAATTTGCATCTCGATCTCGCAAATGTCTGTTTGTAGGATATCCTACTGATCAAAAAGGGTGGAGAGTATATGATTTAGAAAATAGAGAATTTTTTGTATGCAGGGATGTCAAATTTTATGAAGAAATTTTTCCTTTATCATCACATGTTGCACCAAAAAATGCGCCTGCATTATCCTTGCTGCCTCATTCTATTCAGGTCACGAGTGAAGATGCGTCCAATAATATGTTGTCCGCCCATGATAATGCTTATACACCTGCAATTGAATACTATGCAGAAGGCGCCGATCAAGTACTTACACCTGTATCACATGCAGACGACAGGGGGAGTAATATTTACGTAGACGCCGAACAAATTCATGCTCCCGAATCTCATGCAGGCGACATCCACGCTGAACAAATGGCTGCACCCGAATCCTATGCAAGAGACGTTAATGCAGATACGTCACACACTTTAACGGTGCAATCAAGAGCACCAATTCATGTGCCATGCTCTTCACGGTCGCAACCAGTTGAGGGCTGAAGTCAGCAATCACGGAAAACCCCAACATACCTTCAAGATTATGAATGCAATGCTATTGAAACACATAAATCTCTTCCTGCTCTTCCAATCAGTCACTCCTCACATGCAAGGTCAGGTATTAAATATCCATTATGTAATTCTCTTAGTTTATCTAAATTCTCTCCATCCCATCGTGCGTTTGTAGCAGCTATTGATGCAGGATGTGAGCCTCGCCATTTCAGAGAAGCCATGCAGAATTTGAAATGGGTCGAAGCTATGAGAAAAGAGATCACTGCACTAGAGGATAATGGGACATGGGCTGTCACGGTTTTGCCACCGAATAAAAGAGCATTACCTAGCAAATGGGTTTTCAAAATAAAATATCATTCTGATGGAACCGTGGAAAGATACAAGGCACGGTTAGTTATTGCAGGTAACCATCAGATAGAAGGCGAAGACTTTGGTGAGAGTTATGCGCCTGTTGCAAAAATGACAAGCGTTAGAACTCTCTTGGCAGTTGCTGCAGCTAAGCAGTGGGAACTACATCAACTAGACGTGCATAATGCTTTCCTAAATGGAGAGCTTAGTGAAGAGGTGTATATGAAATTTCCTCTAGGATTTAGCAATGGAACAAAAGATCAAGTCTGCCGTTTGAAAAAGTCACTCTACGGTTTGAGACAATCTCCAAGAAACTGGTTTAGTAAATTGAGCTCCTCACTTATGAAATACGGTTTTCCACAATCTCATGCTGATTATACCTTGTTCACATTCCAAAGAGGTGGTATTTTTCTTGCTCTCCTGGTTTATGTTGATGATATAGTGTTGGCAGGAAATAATACTCAAGCATGCACTCAAGTCAAGGAATATTTAAACAAGTGTTTTAAAATCAAGGACTTGGGCAGGTTGAAATACTTTCTTGGGATTGAGATAGCCCGTAACAAAGAAGGAATATTTTGTGTCAGCGGAAATATGCTCTTGATATTTTACATGAAGCAGGTCTTAGTGGAAGCAAACCAGCTGTGTCTCCTATTGAACAGAATCATCGACTTGGCCTTGCTGATGGACCAGACATCGATAATCCTGAGAGATATAGAAGATTAATTGGCAAATTGATTTATTTAAACATTACAAGACCAGATTTGAGTTATGCTATTCATGTCCTCTCTCAATTTATGCAGCATCCTAAGCAAGTTCATTATGATGCTGTCCTACGAGTGTTAAGGTATGTGAAACAAAATCCTGGACAAGGACTCTTATTGAAAAGCGCATGTGATCTCCAAATCCATGCCTATTGTGATTCAGATTGGGCTTCTTGTCCTCTTACAAGAAGATCTGTTACTGGATATTTTGTTATGTTGGGCACATCACCTATTTCATGGAGAACAAAGAAACAGGTCACAGTTGCACGTTCTTCTGCTGAAGCTGAGTATAGAGCCATGGCAGCTGCTACAACAGAGTTAATTTGGTTAAAGGGTTTTCTTGCGTCTCTTGGTGTGCATCATACAATACCCATGTAGTTATTTTGTGATAATACAGCAGCTCTCCATATTGCTGTTAACCCCGTTTTTCATGAACGGACGAAACACATTGAGCTGGACTGCCATTTCGTTCGAGAACATATTCAGGCGAACACCATTGCTACATCCCATGTTCGCTCCTCCGCTCAGCTGGCAGATCTTTTTACCAAAGCTTTGGGACAGTCTGTCTTTCTTGCATTCCTTCCCAAGTTGGGCATTTCATTCTTACATGCTCCAACTTGAGGGGGAGTGTTGAAGAAGATATCATCTTATCATGTAAATATATTCAATTTGTGTGTAATCTTAGTTGTTTCCTAGTTGTTAGCTTGTATTCCTAGTTTGTTAGTGTAGTTACCATCAGATCCGATGCTGTTACTAGCTTGTGCGTCCAGCTTTCTAGCTCATGCGATCAGCTCCTAGTTTTTAGGATTGTTAAGTTTGTTTATAATTATTTGTATTTTTGTTCAGCCTATTTAAAAAGGCAACCATCAATATATCAAAGCAACCTATTGATACCATATTTTATCTATTAGGCAGAATCATACAAATAACTAAAAAGAATATTTAGCAAGGACGTTTATATGTTTTCTTAGAAAGACTTTTAATTAGGCAGTTTAAATTAGTGTATAAGTAAAGATCAACGTCCAAAGGGAAGTGTTATAAAATCATATTTATTGATACAAGGGAAAGTATGTTAAACTATGAATATTTTATTACTTTTTTAAGTTTTTACCAGATCGATATTTTTTTAGGAAGTTTTCATGAAACATATTTATAGTGTATGGTATCCAATAGATAATGTTATAAAATATTCGTGGAAGTGGATGATCTTTTTATGTTTCATGATATATATGACTTTTTATTTTCGCATAACATTTGATTTAAGTTTTAACCACCACACTAATAGTATGTTAAATACAATTGTTCACTTATTTATGTTTAGAGCCATACATAAAGACATGGCTTTTATGAGAAATTTAAGCTTTTTATGGATTCAAAACTATATGGTATTCTCATTTTTTCCACAGGTGGCGTTTGGTTGGCGTCTTTATCCAACTTTCCAAGGTAAGTGACAAAAGGATTCCATAACGACGTGTTTGGTGAAGCTCTTTCAGACAAAAAACCAGTCATCCAAGTTGCATAGGTTTTTGTACCAAAAAAAAAAAAAAAAAGTTGCATAGGTTTTTGATTTAGATCCGAAAAAGACGGCTTTCGGCACTGTTTGAAAACCATTTTTGTAAAACCACGACAAAGTCACTGTTTGCTTAATTTTTTTGTAACCAATATACCCTTTCCTGGTAATACGGCTGTTTGTTTGTTTAAGATAAGGGTATGGGGATAAAATCGTAATTTTATATCATTTACCTATCTATATTTTTTCCAAAACCAAACATAGAATTTCAAAATTTTCATATACTTTCCTGGTAAAATTTTATCGAACCAAACTACTTTTTTTTACATTTTCCTATCTATCTCACTTTATCTCACTTTCTTACCATTTCCCTATCAATTCAATTTCTCTAGTATTCTAAAAATTTCACCTCGCCACCTAAAGAGTTTATACTTATATCTTTCATTATTTTCTCTCTGTTTTTATTTCTTTCTCTCGTATTCCGTATTAATTTTATAATAAATATAACTTTATTTAGAAAATTTCATAGGTTATTATTTTTCACTTAAATATTAAATATTTTTTAAATATTTTTTACTTCTTTACAGATCTCTAAGTCAAGAATATTTTAGGTTTTTGTTGAGGCGTATGGATCTAAATAATTTACCCATTGATTTAAAAGAGTGTAATGAGCGTACAACTACATCAAATTCATTCACAATTTAATTTATTTTGAGTATACAGTTTAATCAATTTAAATTAAATGTGACTTCATTTTTATGAGTAATTTTTTTTTCACCAATTTCCTAACACTTTTTGTCTACGGGTCATTAGAAATGCTTTACTAATACAACAATAAGAAAGAACTCAGCCAATAACTATAATAAAACAGACCAAGTTCTAGAGTTACGAATCTGCATTACCTATAGAATTTATTTTAAGAAAGGATTTTTATTCAAAAGCATTAAAGTTTTCAAGTGAAAACAAGCATAAAAGGCAATCAAAGTGGTGCATCAAATTTCTAAGCATTAATAATTTCTGACAAAATATTATATATAACTTCCGAAAAATATAGCAACTCACCATTTAAAAAGAAAGTGAAATGAATCTAAGACAGAACTCACTATGCCAGGGTCAAGACACCCACAATTCTCAAACTAAAGAGAACCTCCACCATATTTTACGATTCAAAAAGTACATTCAATGACATAAAATTTTGACAATTTGTCAAATAATAGAATTAACCAAACTCTGTAGTCAGCATATTACTTGCTGACTCGGTAAGCCTGCAAATAAAAAAAAAAGTAAATCAGTTCAGTGTATATTGATATATAAATAAATATATACATGTATAAAAAAAAAGATAAATAAATATATATACAACACCAAAATAATTTTTTTTATGTATTTTACTAATTCTAAGCTAGGCTCACCTTGACCCTTTTTAGTAGCTCTTTAGCATTGCTATCATTTTTGAAGTGTTCTCTTACAGGCTGCATATTCCAAGAAACAATTATTTAGCTTGTGCCATGCACTGGAAATAAAGAAATGCAAGAATGATTTATTCCTGAGTTCACAAAAAATACATGCTATAAAACAACTAATCACAAGATGCTATCAGCACCAATAGCAGCTCTGTCGTCTATCTAACTCTAGTTTTTCTCTCCCAGGATCAATCATCTTAATTGAGAAATAAATGATGCAAATGTAAATAATCACTTGGGCCCCCAATAATAAAAATGTTATGATTTGTCCATGTAAATGGAGATGGATGGAGTCTAAGTGATACACTCCATAAACAGATGTACAAGCACAACTTTACTTGGACAAGTGAACGCATTAAACAATTTGAAATTTATTAACCTATCCACTTTATACATCATTGTAAATTTGCAAACCGAAACCACCACATTGAAATTTCAAACCCAACACATTATAACTATACCAACCAACATGATTTCAAGAATAGCATTATAAGTATATATGTACCTTTGCCATTCTAAAACATTGTTTCAACACAGAGTAAGAACACTACCAACCTAATACATATAGTTGAAATTGTACTTTTAAAACTTACAAGGAGAAAGAAAACAAGATGCACAAACATAATCAGAAAACATCACCTCCAGAATTTTATTCAACGACTTTGACAAAGCTGGTTTAAGGTCTCCTGGATGCAACTCCCCACTTTCATAGTCAGTGATCAGCTCTTCAAAGCTTTTGAATGTCCTAGTTTGAAGGGAAGAATGAACACATATTAACCAAACAATTTTTCAGCATAAAAGAGAAGTTAGAGAGCAACCAGAATTGATTCAAGAAATTAATACTTTTAATGGAATGTGAAGTTCAAACAGGGGAAATAGCAGAACTTACTTATTCCCACCATTATCGGCATTTCGCTCCACTGTAAACTCATTAAACCAGGGTAAGATGAGAAATTTAATGTACTCCAAGCATGGGTTTCCTTCCACAATCTTTGGTGGGCAATAAGCCTTTTTTATTTTCACATTCACTTCAGCCTACAATATCCAAATACAAAATTGAACAGTAACAACATAAGTTTTTCTTAAAAAAGAAAAAAGAAAAAAAAAAATTACCAAAAAGGAACTCCTGAAAAAATATTTACCATGAAGGAACAAATAGCCACAATTATACACAAAAGCACAACCTTTTATTTCTTCATACTAAATATTGAACTTCACCTTCCTCTTATTGACAAATTTAATAGCCCTATTAGCAACTTACCTCCTCATCTTCCATGAAAATGGAAGATGATGGGTCACTTTTTGACATCTTTTCTTGCCCTTGCTGTAGACCAGGTAACATGTCTGCAAATCACCCTTGAACAGTTAGTAAGAGATACACAAATTAAATATGGGAAAAATGTTTGTCCTTTTAAATGACACAAATTGTGTCATTTCACTCTCACAAAGAGGTGAGACCCACACCTTTATTTTTTTTTGTCCACTCTCTCCCCCTTTATCTATCTCTTTCTCTCACTTAAAATGACACAATTTTACATCCTTTAAAATGATACACACTTTTCCCATTAAATATATATTAGTTGAAAGGAAATTTGGAGAATACGGTGTGACAAGATAATGGGTTTGTTCTTCCTCTTGATGTCATCGCAATACTCTCTGGCAAGTACATTCACTTTTCGCTGATCCATTCCCAATTGGCAGATGTCGGCCTATTTTAAGATAAAAACATTCATGCATTATTCACTAATATGTTTCCAGCAAATTGATTACTATAGTTTCAGATGTTAGGACATAAGAACAGCATAATATCTGAATACTCAAACATTTAAAAAAAATAGGTAGTTTACATATAGAGACCATAGGAAAGTGGGAAGGAAAACCCAAGAACAGTATAACTGAAGTTAGAAGAAGAAATAATTCGCAGTCAGTACATTTAATTAACACATCCAGGGCAGTGCACGTCTATCATAATTTAATTTTGGGACAGTTCTCTACAGTAAACTGACAACATCCAATGTGAGCCTATAAGGGCATCATTTTAGAATGATTTTACGAAAATGTCATGCTATCAACATACACATGTCAAAAAAAATAAAAAATGATGTAAGCACCAATCCAATATATAGGAAAGAACTGAAATGCACCTTGAGGAAAAATATGTCAGCACACTGCATACATGGATAGAATATTTGTGCAGCAGTCAATTCATCCTGTTCACTTCGCCCCATGATTTGGCTACACCTATAATATGGAAAAACAAAACATGGACCAACAAATTAAGCCCAAATCGATAATTTACTAGATCATATCAAAAAAAAAATTTAAGAAAAAAGGAACCTGATAATCCTTTTAAGGTTGTTCTTCTGAGCTATATCCAACACAAGAGGCCAGTATTCATCAGCTCTCGAGTTAATCTCCTTCGATGACCATAAAAACTCAACTTTCCCTCCTTCCAGATCCATCCCAACAGCTTTCCAAATTTCAATAAAGTAGCGGCCAACAATCTCAATTTTCTTCAAATCTCCTCCCATTTTATTGTTTAGCTTGGCAAACCAATCAGCAATCCATATTTTCATACGGCAACCAGCAGATGTTAGCTTGTTCACACTGATTGCTTTCATGACTCCCTATATATAAGTGAAAGAACGTAACTATCCCTATGTAAGTCACACTATCATCAAAAGATTCCCTTCACCTCAAAAATCAAGTAGGCAACTATTCACTTCTTCCATTTTCTATAAGAAAATATCATTATTCAACAATTTATTTTCAATATTAGGATTCTTTTTTTAAACAGAGAGAGAGAGAGAGAGAGATGACCTGAGCTATGTGCATTCGTCCGGAGGGTTCGAAGCCATCATAGCAAACGGGTTCAGGCTTCTTAGCGAGGAGGTTAAGGAGCTCATCTTCTTGAATGCACTCTTCCCCGATGCTCCTCACGATCTGAAACCTCTGTTCCAGGGTCAACCTGGGACCAAAAAAACCTAAGAGTTATAACAATCATCGAACCTGGAATATGAAAATTGAAACCCTAAGAGTTGAGTTTGGAGAGTGTAGTAGAAGAAACTTACTCATGAGTTGGATTTGGGTTCGATGATTCGGCGATCTCGGGTTCGGAGACGGACAAGGATTCCATAGCTCCCGCTGCTGCTTGTTCCATTGGTGGATGAGTGATTGCCTTAATCTGAATTAGAACCCTGTTTTAAAGAAAACACAAATGGCGGCTCCACTGCTAACTCAACTCACCAGGACAAGATACCCTCACCACCATTTAGGAATCAGATCCCCTAATACACAAACTGTTACATTTATTTTATGGAAAATGCTTCTATTTATTTCATTTCACTTCCATAAAGAATGAGATTCGTACTATCTTTTTTATCAATTTTTATTTATTTATCTTTTTCTTTATTTTATTATAATTTTAACTATTATTTTATGTTTTCAATGTATTTCATTTTGAGAAAAATATTTCTGAAGTTATTACAGATAAGTTATCTGCATTTATTCCAAAACAATGTCATTTTGGTATTGAAATATTAAGGGAATGTTTGGTAGGGGTTTTTAATGAAGATAACCAGGCAACTTCTAGTGGCATTTTAGCATAACCATGTTTGGTAAAAGTTTCAAGAAAATTTAACCATGCAAATGCTTTACCCGACCATTGTAATTTGTTTACAAAATTTGATGGAAAATTAGGGGTGTGCAAAAAAACTGGTTCACTTGTCCTGTTTTTGATCTGATCTTGACTTCACCCATAAATACCTATTATTTTTAAACTGAGTTTAAATATTGACCCACTTTATTTGGGTACCTGACTTGTTTTAATAATGACTCATTGACCCAAAACTTGACCCATAGCCATTATGTCAAAAAAAAGAAAAAAAATTACAATTACATTAAAAGAAAAATTTTAACGTAAAATAATAACGTCAAAAAAATTTATGCAAAATATTTCAATCAATGTTATAAAAAAAAAAATATATTTCAATCAAAATTTTTCGAAATTTTTTTGGCGAAAAATATATTTATCAAAATTTGATGGAAAAAATTTTTGTAAATTTTTTTTACGGAATCTAAATTTCATCAAAATATTTCCCAAAAAAACATATTCATCAAAAATTTCGACGAAACACATTTCCATCGAAATGTTTTGACGGAAAAAAAATTCATCAAAATTCATTACATAATTCAAATTTCGGCGAAAGTTTTCGACGGAAACATTTTCGTTAAACTTTTTGACAAAAAAAAAATTCGTCAAAATTTTTAGCGAACACTTTTTCATCGAAAATTTTCAATTAAATATTTTCGTCAAGGTTTTTGATAAAAAATATTTCCAACAAAATTTTCAACGGAACACATTTCTGTCAAAAAATTTCGTATAAATTTTTGACAAAAAAAATTTCGATAAAAAATTTTGACGAAAAAATATTCTGTCAAAATACTTTAGAGAATCTAAATTTCGTCAAAAGTTTCGAATGAAACATTGCCCTGCAAACAATTTCCGTCCAAATTTTCGTCAGAACAAATTCCCATCGAAATTTTGAACGAAAAATATTCCGTCAAAATCTTTGACGGAATTCTTTTTTCGTTTAAAACATTTGATGGAGGAAATCATTTTCGTCAAAACTTTTGACGGAAACTAAATTTCGATAGAAAATTTATTTTTGTAAAAATTTTCATTAGAGAAAAAATTTCGTCACTTTTCGACAAAAAGTATTCCGACGAAAAAATAATTTCGTGACGAAATTTTTGTCGTTTGCAACGTAGAAATTTCGACGAAATTTTGTAACGAAACCAAGTCAAAAACGGGTCAGGTCAGATTTGACCCACTTCAGAAACCAAGTGAGAAGAACTTCAGAAACCAAGTCAGGTCAGATCCGACCCAGTTCTGAACTAGTTCAAAAAAACCCAAAACAAGTCAGACCTGACTTGGATCAAATGAAAGCGGGTCGGATCAAAATACCTGACCTATAAAAACCAAGTTGGGTCGAGTCGACACAAAAATATGACCCGACCTGACCCATGCACAGCCCTATGGAAAACACTGTTTCAAAAAACCATTGAGAATGAGGTATTTTCTTTTGATGGGAAAAGAAAAAAATGATTACAAATTTGGAGACTGAAATGCCCTTGGTTTACTTTTGGAAAAAGTGGAGTCTCTTAAAAAAAAATGGTATTTTCGTCTTTTCAATCTATTTCTCCATCAATATTTTAACTTCAACCAAATATAGACTCAGAAAATTTAACCCAATTTTTTCGATAATATTTCGGCCTACCAAACAACTTTTTTTTAACTTTCCTACAAAGCTCATTTTCTCATCATATTCCTAGTAATTGTATTTTCCTAGTAAAAAAAAAATTCTTCCTCTACCAAACGTCCCCTAAAAAATTATAAATAACTATTATAACCCTGAAAAAAATTAAAATTAAAAAAATACTACGATTTTCGCCCTAAAACGACAGCGTATTGAACTTACTGCAGTAACTGCAGAAAAAGTGAACCCTTTCATTTTAGTCTTTAATGTTTCTAAAGTGAACGTAGATAAGTTATCTCGCTTCCAAAATGACGTCGTTTTGGTTTAAACAATTATAATAAAAAAGACTATTGTAACCGAAAAAAAAATTATAATTACAAAAATATCTTAATTTCTGCCTCAAAACGATATCATTTTGGGTTCAATATAGATAAATTATCTGCGATGACTTTTTTTTTTTTTATATATTTATATGTTAGATCATTCTGCAATTTAGATGGAGACTGATCGGCTCGCATCATCAGTTACGATTTAAAATTAATTTGCAATCAATCTAAAATGTTAATTAAAAATATTAAATTTATTATCATCGGTTATGATTTGATAAATAAATATTTTTATTTTCGAGATAACAATTCAAATCGAAATTGATTGCATCAGATCGTAATTTATAATGAAAAAAAAAAAAATTAATTTGCAAACAAATTAGACATGATAATTAAAAACAAAAAAAAATATTATTACTGATGAATGGTTTTTTTTTCATTGTCAAAACTGATTAAATTAGATCATAATCGATAGGGGTGTTAACGGGCCGAGCCGAGCCGAGCTTTGATCTTAACGGGCAAAGCCTGTATTTAAGCGTGCCCGACTGACCTTAACATGTTACCTGTTACGAATATAATATTGGCCTCTGGCCTGGTTTATTTACAAAAAATAAAAGCCTGTGTGAAGCCTGTATTAACCTGTTAGCATGTTAAAGAATAAAAATAAGAGAACATAATTCAAAAAAAATTCAATTTCCAGATAGAAACCTTAGCTTCCAATTTGCAGCAATAATTTACAAAGTCTACAATAAATAAAAAAATTAAAGTGAGAGAAGGTAGATAACATGTTATATTATCGTAGCCCATTATAAAAAAAGTGCCAACAAAAATAAAAATAAAATAAATAAAATAAAAAATAAATTGACACAAACGAGCAGTGCACAGTGGAACGAATGAGTTTTTGTGGGTTTGTTTGTGTGAAGGAGGATGAAGGATAATATAGAACAACACTAGTAATTCCATAAATATACATAAATTCAATATATATCCAAATAGCATAATATAGAACAAAATTATTCAAAAAGTCTGTTAAACCAATAAAATGGGGTGAAATAAATTGATGAGAGAGAGTTATTACAAGTAGTATAAAAAGTATAAATAAATATTTATATACTAGACTAGCCTGGGATGCTCTAAGGCCGAGCTTCTGAATTAGAGCCTGAGACATTTTTATTAAACGAGCTTTTATATAAGTGCAAGCCTGGTTCCAACACGAGCTTTTATTAAACGAGCTCAGGCCTTTACGAGCCGAGCCAAAGGCCCCTGGCTCGTTTACCACCCCTAATAATCGATGGTGAAAAATTAATTTTTAAATGTAAAGATTTCAAAATTGTGTCTAAATTATTTACTATGTTAATTATTATTTGACTAAATAAATTTAATATTGATTTTAAAATAATAATAATGATATTATTTGCAATCTTAATTATTATTTATAATTTAATTAGGGAGAGATTTTACTTACAACTTATTTTCGTTTTCAACCTCTTATAACCATATCTTAACCGTTGATTTCTGTTGATTTCTGCAATCAACGGTTATCATTTATTGCGAATTAATAATTAATTAATAAATTTGATTTACGAAAATCTTAACCATTGATTGATGGAAATTGACGATTAAGATATGGTGGTAAGAGTTGTAAATGAAAATAGATTATAAATATAACATTTCCGGTTTAACTAATATCTAATTAGAATGAGGGAATAAAATAAAAAAATAATAAAATTTGATATAAACAACCACATCATGCTATGACATGATCCCATTACTTGCAAATGACAGTGTACACAATCAGATAGATACGCATGATCTCGTTAGTTACGTTTACGGGACATTGACCATGTTGCCACCTCTTTCATAAAAAATTACCGGATTGTAACGTTAGAAATTTTTTTTTGTCAAAATGCCACATCACAATCTCGCTAGTCTGATAAGCGAGAATGGTCTAGACACGTGTCAACATTTGAATGGTCAACCATTCTCGCTGGATTGCCCAGCTAGAATGACAGAATGCTGACACGTGACAAAAGTACAGACATTCAGATAATGCTTGTACTTTTGCCAGCATTATGTCATTCTAAACGTGAATGGTTGACCATTCAGACGTTAACATGTGTTCAAACCATTTCCGCTTGTTAGACCAGCGAGATTGTGATGTATCATTTTGGCAAAAAAATTTTCCTGACACGACAATCCGATGATTTTTTACCTAAAAGGTAGCAACATGGATAAAGTCCCTACATTTACATATGAGGTGTACGGTGTACCCAACCACATGCGCTGGGCGGATGATATGCGCAACTCTTGTCATGTGATAGTTGCGCACCCCTTAATTACGCAGCATGTGCAATTGGTCCCGGAAAATATTTTAACTCTGCATTAATTGTGTAATTTTTTTTTTAAATTGCATTTAGTATCATTAAAAACTAAATGCTTTCAATATCAAATTAAGAAGAAAAAAAAACTAGACGCTTTGGAAAGTGACAAACTGACAATGTGGTTTGCTACATAAAAATAATTTAAATTGACATAAATAACATAATATTTTTAGAGTAGAGTTATATTGATAAATTTTTTTTTACAAACTATACTATGTCTAACCGGTAAGTCTTATCGGTTAGATATAATGTAGTTTGTAAATATAATATTTTTCATATTTTTATTGATAAAAAATTATTTTCTACCTGTTATAATTATAAATATATAAAAATAATAATAATAATATTTATTTTAAAAATGATATGTAAGATTTTTTATGATTAATATCTTATAATTATGGCCATATCTCCTATGATATTGTTATAGTATTAGTTTTAGGATAAAAACTCAATAAAATTAAGGGCTTGTTCAAATGGTGATAAATGTGGACATGACAATAAAATAAAAAGGGGAAAACAAAATAAGATAAAAAATAGCTCAAGTGTTGGTGAGACCAATATCATGTCTTAACAAGTTTCAGTATGGTCAGGGTTAGATCAAATCATGATACTTTATAAAATTATGTATACAGTCTAATTTATCCTACTTTATAAAATTTATATTATACAGGATTTGGAAATTAAGCTCTAAATCAATAAATCATATCAAAGTGGTCAATTTAGTCCCACACAACACCTACCCTTTAATCCGTCTTTGCCCGATTAATTGCAAATCTGACCGTCTGTTTGAGTCATTCACCTCCTCTAATTCCTCCTACTCGAGTCTCATCGTATATTGAGTCATTCACCCGTTTTCAAGGATTAAGTAATGACAGAATATAATAAGTCATCATGTCTAGCATTTTCCGGTCTAAAAGATTTTACAACTATAGGCGATGGTTATTTTATCTGCATATATTAGCAAGTAAAAATAAATAAAATGGAGATTATTCTGCTTATTTTTTTTTTTAATATTTATCTTTCTCTCTCTTCTTTAGATTCTGATCTAACCGTACTGGAGAACGGGAGAATGATAAGCAAACGTAGGTAGAAAAAAAAAATATAGAATAATATATCTTACTAAAAATAAAAAATAAAAATGGGTACCAAAAAATATCAACTAATGGACCATAATATCTTCGTTCAAATCCCTCAAGATTAACAAGAGGCAAATGTCGCTTTTACCTCTTAGATAGAATAAAACTCATGTTTGTTCACAAATTAACAGGAAATAATATCTCCAAGAGGATAAATTAGTTGGGACTTTTGAAAACATGAACTTCCAACAAGGGAACTTCTTTGTCAATCAGCTCAAAGATGCAAACATCTCCAGCTCGCAATTTACTCTCTGTTGCAAACAGAGACCAACCAGAAGAGAAGCGGGTAAATGTACTGTAACCGGTCAACTTCACAGGCCACGATCTTTTCCCAAGCTGAATTATCACATTCTGCTCCTTGCTCTCATTATTTACGAACTTCGGTACATACGCCTGCATAATGTAACATTACTGCAAGAGTTAGAAGTTCATAACATAATTACCTAGAGTTTATGAATGTATAACGTCTGCAATAAGCGTAACATAAATGTTTCACACCATAGATTGTATTTGTTGTTCAACCCTACCAATGCACGTTCTGACAGATGAACTGGCTTTATGAACACCGTGAAAAAAGGATTGTATGAGACGAATTTCTTAGCTACTTCCTGAGCTCTAACATGCTTGGGCCAATTCAACGATGAAGTTCTTTGAGTAGTTCTCCCACCTGTGGAATGATAACGAAAAGAAACAAGTCAAAGCCAATTAAAGAGATGTCATCTGGAGCATCTTGAAAATTGAGTTTATTGGTTTCAACTCTAGTTTTTTGATATAGAGCAGAAAGATACTAGGAAATTTGACCCTTCATGATTTTGAAAATGTTAAAGTGCGCTATGCTACCCTTCATGTTTATGCATTCCTCCATGTGCAAGTGCAAATAATATCTTCCTTGGGGGCACATACACTCATTGGTGACGTAATTTGAAAGAGCCATTGTGGAAATCATAAACCACCCATAAATGTTGAACGAAAAGTCTAATAGAAGATATCACTTAAAAGGAAAAACAAATCATGAAATCCATACCTTTCAGTTGGTGCTTGAGAGATTTCTGAAACTCTGTCCTTTTATCAGATTGATCACCTGCATGCAACTTTTGCAGATTGGAGCTAATTTCCATATTCCTATGAGTCCCATATCTCATTTTCTTACGAGATGGAGCAGAAAACAGTGGTGAGTTTGGCCTGGTCTTTTTCTTTGGAGGGATTCCCCCCAAAATTTTCAATGATTCATCATCACTCTGGTTATGATCATCCTTTTCGTCACAATTGTCATTGGAAGGATAATCTATTTCTAGAGCACTCTGGTCAAGTATGAGTACATCAAACTGTGAAGTACCTTCATATTTAAACATAACCAAATAACCATGATCTAGAGAGTAATTTTCAACAAATTCTTTCCAACCCTTTTCGAACCAAACTTCATCGTTCTGTTTTGTCCAATACACTTTCCATCCTGAGCCATCTGGAGGCCTGATAAACACTGGATTTGACAAACCACCTCCATAACTCCTTGTAAACTTATTGGGTATTTTCTACAAAGAACCTGTTGGTTAGTATGCCAAACAAATGTTCATAATCCTATCACAAATATAACGGTAATCTTAACTTCACTAGTTTTTCCGAATCAATTCTCTAGTGCTGATATTTACAGGTAAATGATTCCAAAGACAGGATAATAGCAATGACAAAGAATACTTACAAGTCTTTCAATATTAGTTTTAAGAATAATCTTGAAGAAATGAATAGGCAGGATTGCATTTCGCCGGCCAAAATGAGTCGTCATAGATAGACTTGAAGTTGAGAAGCTGTGTCGCTTCAGATACCAAGAACAAGGAAGCTATCTATGCTTGCAATATGCCCTCCTAAGTCCTAAGTAAACGCTGGTCACTCAGAGCAAGTGAAAATTCGATCTCAACTTCATAATTGATTCAGAGTCACGACTCACGAGACAACTATGCATTATGCACTTATATGATCCTCTAATTAATCACCCATAATATAATGTACGGTGGATCTCGAACCTGCCACACGTTTAACTCAACCATTCATATTCATATTAGTTGCTGGACTTGGAAATTGAAATCATCATTTATTTGCAATACTTCGAATTACTCTCCTAAATATAAAATTCTTTGCTGTTCTCATCTTGTCTATACAAAATTCTTATAGCAACAAGTCAAGAGAAAAAAAATTAAAATTTAGGATTTCATTTTTTAATGATATTATTGAGAGAGGACAGAGCAGTGTAAAATTATTCTTCTGTGACTGAACGCCAGTTGGGGTTTAATGAAGAGTTGTAATTATTGATAGACTTATGTTGATTAATAATATTCCATGGGAGTTTTTGAGTGAGATGTAGACATTTATTGATCCTTAATATTATAATAAAATATGTAAAACTCTATTAAATATAAAAAAAATAACCAATAAAATTCCGGTACCATGGAAAAATAAACTGGTACCGTATTAATCCTGAGGTTCAATATAAAGAGAAGTAATAATTTTGTTAATTAATTAGTAACTTGAAAGCTATTTATTACCAAAACATCCCAATTGCTTAATGGCATGAAATCTGAACCGCTTACACTGAAACCTCCCATATATCACATCAGGTTTTCCGTTGCATCTATTGTGCTCGCACACACCCAACTCCTGACTCTAGTTGGCAAACCAAAAGAATTCTTTACCACTTGTCGAGTTCATTCTTTTTAATGTTGCATTATTAATCTTAAAGTTCATTTCCCCACTACCATCAATCAAGGCCAGCAAGTAAGATCTACAGAAATGAACTCCTTCAAATTATCAAGCCAGACAATACCGCATGAACTGTTTCCAATGTCCCTAATGCTATAACGTGGTAACCATTGCAGAAATTCTTTACATTTTTCCTTTGATATTGATTATAACAGAATTTTTTTTTTTCCTAATGGATTAACAACTTTCCAACATGCTTCCGGACTTAAAAGTGAATGTTGTTGTTTTTTTTTTTTTTTGGATAAAAGTCAATATTGTTAAACTCAGACTAGTCATAGACTCATTCAGGGTACTATGGATCAATGGTTAGACTGACTAAATTAAATTTATATAATAAATACATTATAATAGACAGATAGAATTAAGTGTAAATATAGCATGTAAGATATCAAACATTTACCAATTTTATACCATTTTTGCAGAACCTATCCACCGTTCCAGTTTTCATTATTCTGTGCTTAAAACAATGCAATAGAAGAATTTTATAATAAATTTTACGTTAATTTATTCATGAATATTAAATTTTTTTAATACTAGTCAAATAACTAACCGCCATACAAATTGACTCGACCATATATATACTCTTTGTACTCTTCCTTCAATATGCATCTACCAAAACTTGAACCATAAAGGAATAACATGTAACGTAAATAATAACAGACAATAAAGTTAACTTAAAAGTAAATATTTTATTTAAATCGAATTAAAAAATGTTGAGGGGGTTATTGAAAATAGGTGATACTGCAGTAGACATAAATTCTAACTTATCCTGCTTCATAAGATTTAGATTATACACTAAATTGGAATTTTTGCTCAAAATCATATGCAGGTGGTCATTTTAGTCCTATGGTATTATGTAATGTATTGGATCTGTTTGCTTCTAAATGAATAGGTAGGATTGCATTTCGCTGGCCAAGATGAGTAGTCATGGATGGAATCTGAAGTTGAGAAGCTGTGTCACTCCTGTACCAAGAACATAGAAGCTATTTGCTGTTTGCATCACTTGTCAGAGCAAGTGAAAAACTACTATGAATCATGCTCTTATGATCCTAATTAAGCGACCTGCCTCGTACACAATTCCAATGATTAGTTGATCATCACCTACCATACAATGTACCACTCAAAAACTCCTCGGTTTTTGATATGAGGAAGATGGATTCATGTATTGTGTGGAATCAATGGCGTTTTGAGTTTATCTCGAACCCTGCAATACGTTTAAGTTTAACTCAACCTTTCATATTACTTGCATTGAAATCGTCATTTATTAGCAGCACCTCTAATTACTCTCCTCGAAATATTAGCCGTCCTCATCCTCTATTGTTTGTATAAAATCCTTATACCAACACATTAAAAGAAATTCAAAATTTAGGATTCGACTTTCTAATGATATTATTAGTAGAATTATATTGATTAATAATATTATTCCACGGGAATTCTCAAACACTTATTGATTCCTAATATTACGATAAATTATTTTTAAGAGTTTATTAAGTAGCGATAGGATATTGTTAGTTTGTTACTACCAAATAATATTATTACCAATATTGCTACCATATCTTAACCATTGATTTCCGCCAATCAACGATTATTATTTTCACAAATCAAATTCATTAATTAATTATTAATTCGCAATAAATTATAACCGTTGATTGACGAAAATCAACGGTTAAGATATGATAGTAACATTGGCAGTGACATTATTTGATAGTAATAATAATATCCAAAAGATTCCGGAACCATGGAAAAATAGATCGGTGCGTATTAATCTCTTTCCACCACCGTTAATTATCACGCCAAACAACATAATATATGAATTGTTTCCAAGGTCTAAAGAATCACTTCAACCCAAAATTTTAAGATGTTAGATGAGTGCCTTCTAATGGTTTATATTATTATCTAATACAAGGTAGCCACAACTCAAATCAAAGAAGAGTTCACTATAATTGAGATTAGTAGTTAGTCCACCCTTCCAATTGATTAAGAATTTACTTGTTTTTCCACTTAACTAAGATTACATAAAATATAACAATAACAAGTAGGGGTGTTCGCGATCTGGATTGGAACGGTTTTGGAAGCAAAAATCATTCGATCCAATCCCTTCGGTTTGATCATGTAATCATCCATTTGGTTTAGATTTTTTTTTCAAATCCGATCCGATCCAATCCAAAATTCTAAAATTTGTTTCATGATTATTGTGCAAATAACATCTTTTGCATATATTGGCTTTGTAATTTTATTTTTTTAAAATACAAAAGCATCAGTAAACGATAATATATATTTTTTCTTTTGGACAATGAGATATGAAGCTCTACATAGATGAAATTTTGTTGATGAGATGTGACTAGATTTTTTTGGGGTTTAGTTGATGGGTTAATGGTTTTTGGATTTAGAAATTTTTGAGCTATGATTGGGAAATATCCAACTAGGTAGAGAGAAATTAATATATTGGATTGGATCGATTTTCATCTACCAATTCGAAAACCGATCCAATCCAATTAAAATTTGCATTTTATTTTTATTTTTAATTTTCGATTTATTCGGTTATCGATTTTTCGGTTCAGTCACATCGGTTGATGAACACCCCTAATAACAAGTCTTTGAAAGAACTTCCAAATACTCAATTTTCACTCATCAAATATGTCTCCTCTGGTTACAAGTCCTCCCTATTTATAAGAAATTTTAAAAACAAAAACAATACATAGAGAAATCTAATCATTAACTATCCTTTAATTTTTGAATTTAACCAAATAATTAAAAACACTAAAATTAAGCAAATTAAACATTAATGTTGATTTTCGTCAACTAAGTTGAGGGGTAAATAATTAACAATTTATTCTCCTTAATTATATTTAAATGCTGAAACTTTTATACTCCTTTACTAAAAATAGGAAAAAATATGACTCAGGTGACACCAACCATAAAAAAGTAGGGAAGATACTTTCTATAAGAGAGCTAATTAAGCACAATTTATCCTAAAATAACTTCGGAACCCAATTAAATTTGAACCTTAAAGTTGGCACATGAATGTGCATAATTTATGCTTAAAATGATGGACGCATGCATAAAATGACCTAGCATCTTATATTCTCTATTTAAACTTAATGATGTTGCTCTCGTGGTAACCATGGCATAAGTTCTTTGAGTTTTCCTTGGTTTTGATTACAATTGTTTGTGGTGAGAAGTTTTTTCAACAGGCTTTTGCCATTAATCAGTTACCAACTCATTGTTTCTCTGTCTAATTCTCTGTAGTAAGTCATTCACAAATTAAAGTATTAGGATTTCAGCAGAAACTAATTGACATTCACTGGCCTGATGTAAATAATGACTAGCCTAGGGTAAACACAAGGAAAATATGGATTTTCTAAGCACTGAGCCTTTAGAGAGACACGTAAATTCTAGATACAACTACTTCTGAAGTTTGCACTGTTAAATGTTATTTTCTCCCAGCTACCTTCTTGTGAACTATAGTTTTTCAGGAGGTTCCATGTAGAGTATGAAGGGGAACTTGACCCCAAACCTAGGGATCTACTCATTACGGGCCAGAGGCCTACAAGGAGCAGAAACCAGCCCAGATATCTTAAGGACTACGAGTTGTATTAAATAGATGTCGGCCCATCAATTAGCATTTAAGCCCAGCCTATTTACGCTCAATTCCTGCTTCAGGTATTAGAGACTTATATTATATGGTTTTGTAACTGGGTATGCGGAGCATATGAATGAAGTAAAGTTTTCTTCCCTTTGTCTTCTCGATCCCTTGAATCGCCTAAAACGTATGTAGGTGCAGTTTCAAACCCATTCCATGCGTCAGGTAAAATGACAACTTTCGTGGAAAGAGAGAGCACAATTGTAATGGTAAATGTAATGTAACATGTTCCTAAATATTCAAATGGTTGAATTTTTGTCATTTCAAATTACATAAGTTATATCATTTAGACACAAAAAATAAAAATCATGAGAAGAAAGTAGATATTTTTTTTTAATTTAAATTTTAAATAAAAAATATTATTTTGTGTCTATCTCTCTTAAAATGACATAACTTTATGTCATTTAAAATTACAAACATTTTTTCCATATTCAAAATGTATAGGAACATTTTGAACAGAATTGTATAATTCAAATATAATATTTAAATGGTTAAGTGTTTATCATTTTAAATGACACAATTTTATATCATTTTTAATGAAATTATGTTATTTTGATATATTTTTTTAAATTTAGAAAATAAAAGAGATAGAATGCAAAAACACATCAAAACAACATAATTTTATTAAAAATAACACAAAGTTCATCAAGTAGTTCTTAAAAAGACACATGCCACTGAAGTTACTATTTCTGAACAAAAACTAATCACTCTTATCCTTTCAAATATTTCATTTTCTCAATCATTATTCTTGCCAAAAAAACCACATATATATATATATGGGCGTTCGTTATAAAATTTGCATAAATTTGATAGTAAAATAAGAAATTCGTGCATTAAAGTAATCATGGATCATAGAATCTTCCTTCAAAAATTTCAAATTTAACTCCAACCAAAGCTGGAACAGAAAGTGGTATTTCTTCAAATTTTCACAAAAAAGAACAGCCCAAAGCGGATAAATTAACTACGGCTTTTGAAAACATGAACCATAAAAACGGAATCTTCTCGGTTAATCAGTTCAAAGACACAAACGTCTCCTGGTTGCAATTCAGTTTCGCTTGCAAACAAGGACCAACCAGCAGAGAGTCTATTCCTTGAACGGGACTTGTGACTACTGAGCAACTTCACATGCCATGATCCTTTCCCAAGCTTCAGCGTCACATATTTATCCTTGTTCTCAATATAACCTTTCAAATCTGGTACGCTCTGAATAATATAATATTATCACTAGAGTCAGAACAGAACCTAGGCTACGAGTACTTGATGAACGTAAATGTTTCAATATGATTAAACCTACCAGCTGGGATTCTGCCAGATGAACAGGCTTTAGGAAAACCGTGAAAAATGGATTGCATGAGATGAAATTTTTAGCTACTTCCCGAGCTTTTACTTCGCGTGGCCGATTCAGTGATGAAGTTCTTTGAGTAGCCTTCTCACCTGTGGAATACAAAAGAAAAGAAGTCTCGGCCAGTAAAAGACACGCTTGTGGAGCATCTTGAGAATTACTAACTTCCATAGTTGTGTTGGTTTCATCTCAAGCTTTTATCAGGTAAAATAAACTGAGAATTCTGATCCCTCATTGTTGGGTTTTAAACTTTATTTGAATAAAAGAAAATAGAAAATGAAAGGTTTTTTGGTGAAGAGGTGTGTCTCTTAGGAATTTGTTAGTGGACATTAATGAGTTTAAAGTTTCTAAGAAGTAGTCATTAATGTGTTTAGATTTCCTAAGTTAGTCATTAGTATTTCTAGTTATTTGCTATTGCTTTTAAATAGTACCATGTAAATCATTTGAATGTAAAGATTTGAATGTTAAAAGATATACAAAGAGGTATATTCAGAGAACTCCTTGTATGTTTGAAGTGTTTGAGAGAAACACCATTAGAGGACCTGTGATTCACACTCATGATATTGCAAATGTAAGAGAGACAGGATCATTTGACATCAGTGTCAAATTTAAAGTTTAACATCTCTTCTAAGAGCTATTGAATCAAAAAAGAACGACTCTGAAGCATGTGGCATATTGACTTTTTTTGATCTTTCAGACGATGATGTCAAAAGATCATACCTCAATGTAAAAATGTTGTCTTTACCGTATATAAAAAAATAAGTAGAAAAAAATTCCTTGAAGTGAGTTTGTCTATAACTTTAGCCTTATCATATAAATATAATACTAGTATTCGGGTGTTATTATAAGAGATCTAGAGAGTCAATAATTTTGTTAAATGATAATCTTGATCCATATCAAAATATGAAACGAAAACACGATCAAACGAAAAGTATTTGACACCATGAGATTAAAGTATTGTTTCTCTAATAATATGAGTATGCATAAATTCTTTAGTATAGATGCATAGAATACTGAAGGGAACAGAAACCTTATTGCTGGTGTGCATAGGATCAAGGAGGAGATCATAAACCACCGAACACAAGTGTTGAATGGAACGTTTAATAGAAGAATACTCCAAGCAATAACGATTAAAAGAAGAAACAAACAATAAAATCCCTACCTCTCATTTTCTTATGAGGTCTAGGAGAAAATAGTGGTGACTTTTGTCTAGCCTTCTGAGGGTAGTCTATTTCTAGAGCACTCTGGTCAAGTATGACCACGTCAAACTGGGAAGTTCCTTCATATTTAAACACCACCAAGTAGCCATTATCTAGACAGTATTTTTCAGCAAATTCTTTCCAACCTTTTTCGAACCAAATCTCACCATTCTGTTTTGTCCAGTACACTTTCCATTCAGTGCCATCTGGAGGCTTGACAAACACTGGATTTGATAAACCACCTCCATATCTCCTTGTAAACATATTAGGTATTTTCTGTGAAGAACCTGTTGGTTAGTATGTAAAAAGTGCTCATATTCCTGCCAGTAATACAACACTCATATAAACTTCACGTGTTTTCCTATTCAAATAGCTGGTGCTTATGTCTTTATATTATTTCAATCTAATATCAATAGCAAATATCTCAGATACAAATATGACATATATGACTATATGCTAGAAGCCTGAGTAGAAATACTTACAATCCTTTCAAGATTAGTTTTAAGAATTATCTTGAAGAAACGGATTTGCAGGATATCATTTCCCCCGATACGATGGTAAGCCATGGATGAAGTTTCTGTTTCTCCTACACCAAGAACATAGAAAACTAGCGGCATGCCCTCCTTAAGTAAATGCTGCTCAGAGCAAGTGCAGCTATTCATTTATGATCCTAATAAAGCTACCTGCCTCCTACTTAATTGTCATGATTGACTGTCTGAACAAATTTAAATTTGTCTATGGGACGTTTCATCTTTCTACTTGGCACATTTATTATTTTTTATATCAATCAATCAGTGGAATAAGGGTGCGTTTAAAACCTCGAGCTTGCCACGGCACCACCCATAATGATAAATTGATAATGTAAAATGATATTCAAAAAATTTCTTTGAGATTTAGTTTTTCCGCTCTAAAACACATACTCGGTGCTGTTTGTATTTGTCATTTAACATTACACAACAAATTTTTTTACACACATAATATTTTATGGGGCTTACACTTTTTGAAGAAAAAAAAATTACGGAATGCAAAATGAATCTTTATAACATTACACAATCACTTTTCCTACAACATAACTCTTATAAAACTCTACTTATAATTGAATAAAGTTAAATATAATTAAATTATTTTTTAATATTTTGTAGTATAATGAAAACGTTTATATTTTATTATTTGTTAAGTAAATTAAATGCTTAAGAAGCTAGTAAATAATACATCTGTTTTACTTCATATCAGAAAAAAAAAATATTCAAGAAAATAAGATAGAATAATTTTCATCAGGTTTAATTTCGTTTTATCTTATTTTAAATAATCTAAACAAGGATAATATCATTACTTTCCCTCTCATTTCATCTGTTTTCCATCTATCCAAACATATTATAAGCACACTCAGAACAAACAAATAACAACCTTACAAGATCTTAAATTGACAAAGCGGAAAGCCAATGCATGAAGACTAGAATGTGAAGCAAGATTTGACATAATCGGATTCATTTGCAAGACTTAGAGCAGTATGTTCCGCGAGAAGCAAGCCAAGTTGAAACAGCAAATTAGAATGTTCCGCGAGAAGCAACCTTAAGAATTGAGCGGAATATTCCAAATTAGAATATTCTCCGTTTTCATATATATATATATATATATATATATATATATATATATAAATATTTATCTTTTGAAGGATATATATAATCTTATACCATTTTGGATTGTAACCGTTAATTTTTGTTAATTAACAGTTAAATTTATTAGGTCAAACTTAATGGGTTAAATTTATTATTAATTAATTAATAATTTTAACTCAATAAATTATAATTATTGATTGACGAAAATCACTAATTATATTCTTTAAAAGAATAAATATTTTTCTCATATATATATATATAGCGGTAGGATCTTTTGACACCAGTGTCAAATTTGAATTTCGATACCTCATCTGAGAGCCACTGGATCAAAAAAAACCAATGGTGTCATATGAGCCACAAATCAGAGTCGTTGATTTTTTTTTTATCCAATGGCTCTCAGATGAGGTGTCAAAATTCAAATTTGACACTGGTGTCAAAGGATCCTGCCTCGTATATATATATATATGAGCTAAAATATGCACTTACTTGTTTATATTATTTACCTCTTATAATAGAAAAGTGTGTTATTTTAAATGACAAAAGTTATTTTATTTCACATACACATGAAGATAAAATTTGTACTTATATATTTTATTTTTTCTTTATTTTTTTAATAGGACATATATCTATTTTTGTCTATAAAATAATATAATTTTTTAAAATGACACGTATTTTTTTCGTTCAAATAAATACTGTCTGAACAGAAAATGAACCATCACCCTTTGTTCTGCCCCACCACACAGAGAAGTTGCCATTTTATCCCGGCCGAATATTAACTACTGGCCTATTCATCTCAGATAGAAGATAAACACATTCTTATTCAATAACAATCATGGGAATTACATTAATATATATTTTTTCATAGATAGGACTACATTAATTTTTGTTAAACTATAGAAACTTATATAAAATTTAAAAAAAAACTATAGATCTTATATACTTTATTAGCAAAAATTTATGATCATTAATGAGTTGGGACTCATTTAATTTTTCTCAAAAAATATAATTACTCTATCAAAAAAATTAAGGGAATATTTTTTTTGTATTTGTGGCAGAAAAAAAAAAATCCATAAAGAAAGAGAAACTTATTAAATGATCAACCCACTCCATTTTTATTCTCTATGGTAGAATAATATTCCGAAAAATTAAACTATACGAATTGATTTGAAAATTCAAAAAAACTGTAAGGACAGACAAGAATAATTAAATCCAAAAAGTATTATTTAGCATAATCATAAATATTTGAATAAATACTTGTAAACAAAAACAAAATATTATGATAAACAATATAATTATTATTTTTTAATATATTTGAGCAAGCCCCATGGAGAGAATATAACCTTAGCAGTTACCAGAGCGAGAGAGGGAGAGAAGCAGTGTGGAGTTGAATTGAAAGAAAGAAAGAGAAAGGAAGAGAGGCATCGAATTGAGGATGGAAGTTGAAGGATCATCGAAGAAGATGATAGCGACGCAGGAGGAGATGGTGGAGGCTAGGGTTCCGATACCGTACAGGGACCAGTGCGCCCACTTGCTCATCCCTCTCAACAAGTGCAGGCAAGCGGAGTTCTACCTTCCCTGGAAGTGTGAGAACGAGCGCCACTCTTACGAGAAATGCGAGTACGAGCTTGTCATGGAGAGGATGCTTCAGATGCAGAAGATCCGCGAGGAGCAAGCCCAGTTGAAACACCAACACGGCGCCGTTCCTCTCGTCCCCAAAACCGCCAATATCTGATTCTCTCTCACTTTCCCTCTCTGCAAGGTGCTCTCTTCTTTTAATTCATTTGATCTAGGGTTTTGTACAACTGTTCTCTGTCCTAATCACTGATCTCTTTTTGAGTAATTAGGCGTTGTGATTGATTGGGGTTTTTGAAACGGGCAGGCTTGTGGGATTTATTTGTTCAGAATGTCACTCACTTCAATTTCAATTTCAGTTTATGTGTTTGTTTCTCTCCTGTACTTGAAATGTTGGGATGTGAATTATAAAAGTTATAAAATGTCAGGTTTGTGCTTGTTCCCTTTGTTTCCCCTCAGCAATTAGGGTAGTGAGGGGTGCTATTTCACTATTAGGGCTACTGGATATGCAGTGGGAACCTGTCTGTGCCAGAATAATCCCTTTTACTAATATATTACTCTATTTTTTGTTCAATTGCCTTGAGTGCTGGTGTTCAACGAGTGAGTCAGAAAAAAAAAAGTATATGCTTCTTGTTGTATTTTTAATGGGAAAGCACTCAGCCTTCGGGTATAGACTAAGGGGGATACCAGTTGAGCTACAAGCCTACAACCTTATATATCCCTGTAGTATCTATAAATATATTTAGGTTGACACGACTTGATTTTTGTTAATATGCAAACCTGTTCGGTGGCTTAAATGTAATGTGAGGGCTCTAAGAAGGTTGCTACTTTTTGGAATTGATTGTTGCAAATGTTGATTGTTAGGCTTGATTTCAAGTAATACTACAGTGTAGACAGATTTTTTGGAGTTTGTAGTACATCGTTAAACCCAATGCTTGCTACAGGTGAGTAGGATTGTCACTTTGAGCTTGTACACTGGTACAAGACAGTATATGTAGTAGTAAATTCAGCTGGTTTTGCATAATGTGAAAAAGGGCAACATGGTCTTGTAAAGCTCCCGCACTTCGCAGGGTCCTGGGAATAGTCTATGGTAGGCAGTTTTGCCTTGCATTTTTACAAGAGGCTGATTACATGAATCGAACAACATCAACCGTTGTGTCAAGCTCCCCTTCTGGTTTTGCATACTGTAATCAAAACATTATTATGTCTTTGTTTGGATTCTAGGAGTGCATTAATGTCAATAGTTTGCATAATACAAAATAGTTACTTGTTGATACAAATGTAAATGTATCCGTAGCATATATACACAAGATGTTGTATTATTAACTGTAATGTAAACCTGTCATAATATAACTCAGCGGTATCAATTACATGGTAGGTTTTGAACTCTGTTTTTAATTTTAATTTTGCTCTCCACTTTTCTCTCCTTGTCATGACTCATGCCTCTTTTGCTTCTCTTCTATATGTTTTTTGGGAGGTTTGCTTTGAGTTTCGACTCTATTACTTTTGTTGTAAAGGCTGTGAATGGTAGCAGGCAATGAAACAAACTGTCTTTCCTCTCTCTTTTTTAATTCATTAATTTCCCACAAGATAATGTTATGAATAGGTGAATCTAGAAGACTGCAGAGTCTGTAATTTTGTCCATCACTTGTTTTTCTCCAGGCTGGAGGTGATATTTATATAATTTGCTTCCAGCTAGACTTTGTTTTGTTCAATTGAAATCTTGAATGATATAGCCTCCTTCTGCTCTGTAAGTGATAAGATAGGAGCCAATTTTATTTCTTTTCTACCACTGTAACAGTTGCCATAAGCTATAAGGTCTCTCTTTGAAGGCCTCATTTCACCTTGATGGTTTTTTGTGTGCTCTTTTGATCTTCTTATAGCCTCTCCCCGCCCCTCTTTTTCAACTTGCTTTGAGTTCTTGATCTTCCTAATTGATTTTTAATTTATGTATATTTGACGTATGTTCAACTTTTGACAGGAACCTTTGCTTGGGTCGGATGTTCTTTCATGTTTTTCTATTGTATGGAGTCAAAGTTACATTGGAATGTTTGTCCAGAGACTACTATAGACTGCTTATACTTTATTTCTTGCTAGTTCCTCGGTCGTGGGGCCATGTTTTTACTTGAAGAAATAAAATTTCTAGCAAAGGGAAATACTAATTGATTTGTTTGACATGCATCTATTCCCTGCTCTTAATCACTTATAATAGCTGACAATTTGAAATATTCACTTACGGGATCCAGATCTGATTCTAGAAAACACTTTGCTAATTGCCAGTGATCAAACCATGGAATCAGGCGGTTGAATGATAGATTTAAACTTACAGTGTCTATTTTAGTTTTAGGATAGAGACAGAGAAAAGTTTTCCAAGGGTTTCAACTAAGGATTGAACACAGAATTTTGAAGAAAAAAAAAAATCTAACACAATTTATATATCATGAAAAGGGTGTAACAGTAGTTTGAGGAGGCAAGTTCACGAATCCTGAAGGAATCTTAATTTCTTGGAATCAGTTTCAATTATTATGTTTACGAAATAGGAATTCATTCTTAATGGCAATTCGGAATCCTTGGTTGAGGTCCAACACTGCTAAATTATTGGTCCCTTCTTCAATGTTTACAAAAGGCTTGGATGAATTTCCCTTCTTGGTCTATAAATATCTCCAAACATTTTATTCTATTGCTGTATTAGCAAATATGGCTGATCATATATAAAAAATGGGAGGATTTCGGGATATCTTTTGTTTCATGGTTTTTGGATTTTTCTTCCTTTTAGGCTTGGTTTACTTTTGCAAACAACGCTGCTGTTTCGAAGTTAAATACTATTTTTCCATCTTCAATGGAATTTCCTGGTAACCGTAAAAATATCAGTTTTATGGAAAATCAAAAGGGTTTCTGGACAGAGAGAATATGATCAGAACCTTTCCTTTTAATCATATCATTTAGGTCAAGTATTATGATTAAGCCGGAGGAGTATCAAGGGTTTGCTACTAAATATGCTTCACTAACATAAAAAGATGGGAAATGGGAAATGTTATGGAAGTCCCAAATTGGATTTTGGTTAAAGCACAATCATAAAGATGGGAAATGGTTTCAGTATTCAATTTCAGTCTGGCACAAAGTACAAAGAAGGTAATCCAGAACATTTTTTATATGTGAAGGGACAATAACAAAGTTCCTCTCTTATCCAAAAAAATAAAAATAAATAACAAAGTTCCTCTTGTTCAATATGGAATTTCAATTGTGCACAACTGTAACATGTTACTCCACTACCTTGTGTTTAATGAGAAAGAAATTAAGTGTGGTCAAATAATCTTTAGATTGCGCCATGTGTTCAGTGGTGCGAAGTTCTATCGATGCAGCAATTGTTAGTAGCACAACTCTGCTGGAAAATATTTTTATATCAAAGAGAACTCAAACATGTATGTTTTCACTTTTTAATATTTTTATATCTAAAAAATAATTTTTTTATTTTAACATTCAAATAACTTTTTTTACTTGAAAACATTTCTCAAATATCACGTCTAAAATGCAAAATGACTTTCCCTTTCGAAAAAAGTCCTCATAGAAAGAATAATACATAATACGTTTTCCCCCAGAAGTCCATCTAAACAGGGCCTAAAAATGACTGGGCTAAACTGTGCCTAGAAAAAGCAGCTCGAAATGTGATACTACTAAACTGATCGCTTCTATGTTCGTTAAGAGTGATTTAGAAAGAGAATAATGGAAATGATCAATGAACTTAGACTAGCATGTTATCTAAATATATTGGTCTCTTCCATTCCTTTCTCTCCAACTCCCCACACACCAAACAAGAGAGGATCAATACTATAAATTATCTTTAAAAAATTAAATGTAAAGATCCGACAACCTTACCCTGAATGTAGGAAGGCAAAAAAAAAAACACCACATCAAAGTCAAAGATATCTAGTAGGCTCACCTAAACAGTAAACAATAAGATAATTCTCTAGGCCCACTAACAATCTCCAATCCATTGTTGAATCTCACAAAAAAAATTAGGAAATGCAAAGAGCTCAAGAATTTAAATGATTTGGATGTTTGCTTTAATCCATGAGTGGTTAAAGTACTTGAAAATTTGAGTAGATACTATTAACTTAAATTGTATAATAAATAATTTGGGCGTTTTTATGATTCGACGAATTAAAATAAAGTTATTATAATTGTTCACTTATCCCTGTTAACTTGCCAGAATCAGTGGAATAAATATGGAACGTTCCTTCTCATATGTCAAGGGAATGAATAATGATTGAAGAAAGGTACCTACCACCTTGACTTTACATTCTCAAGGCATTGAATTTGGAATTTGAATTAGGTTAAAAAAAAGTTTGAATTTATTGCAGTATGTCTTTGTTCTTTCGATTGAGTTGCACTTTCCAGTGTGCCTTCTAAGCAAACAGATGCTAAGATCGAGAGACTTTCATTAAATATCAACTTTGACATATTGCGTGGTGGGTTCCATATCTGATTGTCAAGGTTAACTAATCACAACGCTAGGTATCAGTAAAACTTACTGCATTCAAAGAGAGTTATAATCTAGTGAATTTTTTAATATATTTTCAATGTTTTTATTTAATTATTTTGTTATAAAAATATGATTATTTAGTAATGAAAAAATGTAATTTTTTGAATGTTATTACCATGCAAATGCTAGGGAGAGCGCGAGGAGGAAGGTGCGTCCCCCAAGTGTGTAAGCGATGCAACATGGGGAAAATTTAATATACTACTTAGTGTGATGGTACTACCAGAAATAATGGTTGTTTGTGGTTTAGATTGGATCAGTTTGGAAGCAAAAATATCTAATTCAATCTCTTCGGTTTGATCATGTAATCATTCATTTAGTTTGGAGTTTTTTTCAAATCTAATCGATTTTTTTTTTTTTCTGTTTGGATTGAATCATTTTTCGATTTTTTGAAAAGCCTAAATTTTGTTTAATAATTATTGTGCAAATAACATATCTATCATTTTAAATGATATAAACTTATATCATTTTAGATCCTAACCGTTGATTTCCGTCCATCAACGGTTATAATTTATTAGGTCAAACTTAATGAGCCAAATTTATTATTAATTAATTAATAATTTTGATCCAATAAATTATAACCGTTGATGGACGAAAATCAACGGTTAGGATCTAAAATGATATAAGCTTATATCCTTTAAAATGACAGATGTTATTCCCATCTTTTATATGTATTGTCTTTACAAAGTTTTTTTTTTTTGAAATACAGAAATATCAGTAAATTATAATCTAATTTTTTTTTTTGGCAATGAAATATGAAGCTCTACATTAACGAAATTTTGTTAATGGAGTGTGGCTACGTTTTTTCTTGGGTTTAGCTGATAGGTTAATGAGTCTTGGATTTAGAATTTTTTGGATTATATTGGGGAAAAGCCAAGTAGGTGGAGGGAAATTAATATATTGGATCGGTTTGAATTGGTTGGTTTTCACCAATCAAACCAGAAATCGATCCAATCCAATTAGAATTTACGGATTTTTTTATATTTTTGATTAATTCAATTATCGATTTTTCGAGTTGATCACTGCGATTTGAATAAGTTTTGATCGGTTCATGAACACCCTAAAAAAAATCTCTCCAAGAGATGAGTGGAATATTCTGCCAAAAATTATTATTATTTGGCATACTTGTGTCTTATTGATAATAATGATATTTGTCTTGTAGTAGAGAGTTAGTACCGGTCTTGAATGGAGCCCAATAATTCAATCCAAAACAAATATTTATAGAACATTGCATTGAAAAAACATTGGTGGAATAGAACTAAGCGTGAATCACACTCACAAAAGAATGTGTAGCTCATCTATCTTTAAAAAAAGAAAGAAAAAGGAAGGAAACAGATATGGAGCTAAATTGTTTCCTTATAGTGTGAATGCATATATCAGAATGGCAGGTTACTTTGCATGCAATAATTATAAACAACCAGTCAAAAGTATTAGCAATAGCATATGGTGTTTATGACCAATATAATCCATTTTGTTAATAAGATATTGAGACACAAGGAAGTCAATCAAAACCTCTTTATTGGGAGAAAATCTTCTATAATCCACGTTGTATTAAAAAAAATTCCCTTATTGGATAAAGTAAACTATTGTCTATCTTTGGGAATATGTATGGCCAATGGAGATAGGCACCATTTTCACTGTCTCCATTCTCTTCGTTTCGTTTTATCTAATCTTTCAAGATGGGGAATTAGGTGGATTGAACTTTGTGTGGGAAAGGTTTCATTTTGTTTTGATCTGGGTTCGTCTTCGGCCATCTTATGCACGTAACTGACACCGTAGAAGGTTCGAATATATAATTCATGATCACCTAATGATAAGGCCCTCGCGATATAGATTTCATTTGCAAAGTATTAATATCTGTTTATTCAATTAATTTTCTTGTTAAACAAATAGTAATATGTTAATCAGTTTGGTTTATATTCACCAACAATGGGTTATAATAATTCCGGAAGGTATCTAAAATGTCAAAAAAAATAAAAATTCTTGTTCAAAAATAAAAATAAAAATTAATGACATTGTTTATATATTTACTATTTTATGGAGGAAAACATTGAATATTTATTTCTTCAAATTTTCAAAATATTAATAAAGTTTTTTTTTGTTTCGAAATTAATAAAGTTTTTCAAACTCATACTTCCATGCTGAGTTTTCTAGAGGAAAAATAAAAGTTAATTACTTTTTCTCCTTGGATCCTCATTAGTCATTAGGTATTGTGATTTGATTTCGTGTCCCTTTCAATTTTTCCTTTATCCTATTTTAATATTCCTTTTTTTTTTTCTCTCGTGTTTTGTGGGGCCTTCCATCATGCAAGTTTTTAACTACACGATAATAAGAAACCAATAACAACAAATGATTTTACAATATAATGGCAGTCATATTTAATATTTGAGGATATGTTCAGTTTAGTTTTCAAACAATTTTAATATTCATACATGATGAATTCTTTTAAAAATAAAATCCGTTAACAAATTTTCTAACCAATCTTAGAACAAATAAAACGAAATGTAAAACATTCGGGAAAAAAAAAATCTTATTATTATTCAGTAACTAAAGTGATGGGAATTAAAAAGGTTATATAGTTAGTAGTATTGAAAAAATATTAGTCAATATAAGAACGTATGATGAATAAATTGAAATTCAATAATTAAAAGACTTTTCTTATGATAATATTTTGACT